CCTTAACCGGATTCGATTTCAATTGAACCAAAAACAAATCGATTGCAATCCGGTTTACTCCTACCCAAAATTTAATTGATTTTAACCACCGGTTTACCTTAACCAAGTTGTAATCGGACTGAACCGGGTCAAACCAGTCAACCAACCGGTTGACCGAGTCAACTGAGTTGACTCTCTGAGTTGACTCGGCCAAGTTGACCAAGTCACCGAAGAGTCACCGGCGACGGTCACCGGCGGCGACGGTGGTCAGGCGGCAGCGACACAGCGGCCTGGCGGTGGCGCATGAAACACACGCACGCGTGTGGCTTCGTCTGGACTCCGATTGAGGCGTGGTCGGTGTCTACGGCTTCGTCCCGACGGCATGAGATTCTGAATGGTTCAGAAGTTATTGACGATTTACTAAACAGACAAAACAAAGCTTGTACTCACTCCAATTCCCCGTGGTTTCCGAAAATTCCTCACTATGGCGAATGGTGGTGATGTGCTCGACGTGTGCTCGGCGTCTGGTGGTCATGGCGAGCTCCGGTGGTGGCTCAGAACCAAGGGTTACCCTTCTTCTCTCTTTCTTTCTCTCTCCGAGAGAGAGAGAGAGAGAGAGAGAGAGAGAGAGAGAGAGAGTCTCTCTCTCTCTCTCTCTCTCTCTCTCTCTCTCTCTCTCTCCTTCTGATTTTTGCAAACAAGAACTGATGGCTGAGGCTGAAATTAATAAGTAAAAGTCCTTGGGCTTTTGGGAGTTGACATGGGCTTGATGTGCCGGATGTGGGTCAGTTGTATGAAAAAGGCTTAATTAATTATAGTTGTATGAAAAGGCTTAATTAATTAAGTTCAAAAAAGCTTAATTAATTCGGGTCAATTCCACTTTGCATATTTTGTTGTTTCCTTCACAAACTAACAAAATGTATCGCTTTACACGCCATTTTTCAACTTTTAGGAGCGATTTTAACTATGGGAAAATTGAAAAAATAACCCTTAATTTTTGAAAATAAGCCAAAAAAATCTCCAACTCACAAACAAATCATTTTAACTTTCAACTTCTAGTCAAACATGAATAAATCTCATACTTTCGTTGACCAAGCCATTTTAATCTTGTCAAAAATCAACTGTTTAGTTCCGTTAGTTATATTTAACAGTTGACTTTTAATGAGCCTAAAATAGTTTGGTTAACGAAAGTATGAGATTTTTTTATCCTAATTTAAAAGTTAAAAGTTAAAATTGCGTACATTTTGTAGATATAATATTCAAAAATGAATTAAAAACAAAATAATTTATAAATCAGTTGCCGGAAATCCCTTTCACGTACTTGACTTCCTCATCTTCACTTGTTTCATCCTCTATTGAGTATATGTGATTATACTTTCAACAACAATGTGTTTAGGGTTTTACCTTTAACTTTTATGTTTTTATTCTTAAATTTTTTTTGAACATAACCATTTAATTATTTTATTTTATATCTGAATTTACAATATAATTGTATTTTTAATCAAGTTTTTTACTAAACAATTTTTTTTGTTTTTAATTCATTTGAAAATATTATAACTAAACATATTTGAACATATTTTATTAAGTTTGTAATTCTAATCGATATGATAAACTACAGTTTTTGTTGAAAAAAATAAAAGAAAAATAAAAATTTTTAGTTAAGATATTTTCAAGTGAACAATTTTAATCTTTAACATTTTAAATTAAAATAAAAAGATCTCATACTTTCGTTGATCAAACCATTTTAGGTTCATTAAAAGTCAACCGTTAAATATAACTAACGGAACTAAACAGTTAAATTTTGACGAAATTAAAATGGCTTGGTCAACGAAAGTATGAGATTTATTCGTGTTTGATTAGAAGTTGAAGGTTAAAATGGCGTGTTTGTGAGTTGGAGAATTTTTTGACTTATTTTCGAAAGTTGAGGGTTATTTTGTCAATTTTTTCCTTTAACTTTTTAAAACAATCACGAAGTCAAATAAAAAAGTATACATATAATACTTTATGATTTTTTTTTATGACAAATTACTACACTATGTGTAAGGACGCAAATTCTTACGATATAATAAAGTAAATAAACTTAAAGTATTTATATAAATAAATTAAAAATATATAAAATACCAATACAAGCCTTCACTACAAGGAAAAAAAGAGTTTTTATAGTGTAATGGGATAGCATTTTTCCATTTATGCTATGATTGATACATCACTTACTTTTAGATAGTGTTTAGGAAAATGAAAACGTTATCTTTGGTTAGGCCAAATTTTTAAATATTCTAATACATAGTTTACATCTTTATAATATTATTTGAGAAGTCACTTTTTTAGGTGTCACGCTCACGTTAACTCTCACGCTGGTTGATTACTATGATACCCCTAATGAATTAAAAATATAATTATCTATTATTTTCTTTTTAAAATTTTCCAAATAACAATACAAAATAAAAAGGAAACATTTATAAAATTTACAAAACTATTTAAAACTGAAAATATAAATATATATAATATGGTTTAATAAAATAGGAAAGTTAACAAAATAGTAATAATTAATTTAAATATATTTTAAATAACATAAATTATACTTTTGAAGTAATAAAATATTTTATATCTATATCTTCTTAGATTAAAAAAAGGAATATATGTATATAATGTGATTTCATAAAAAAATTTCACACAAAAAATATTGCTATTAGAAAAAGAAATTTTTTTTCATTAAAAAATAATTTTAAACAATAAAATATATATTTTCAAAATAATTATTTTTGTATACATCTATCTATTTATTAGATGATTACATAAAATAATCAACTAACATAAACTGATATACATTTAATTGACATTTTTTATAATTAGTATTATTGAAATTATTTTTTAGTATATTTATTTGACTATAATATCTTATAATTACAGTAAAAATATAAATTCTATTTTACTTATATAGTATAATTTCTCAAAAACAATCACTTTTTACTGACTATTTTAAGAGATACTAAAAATAAAACTAAAAATAAATTTAATTATAAACATCTTTTGATCAAGTAACTACAATTATTTTAAAATATCATAACACTATATAATTTAACGAGGTAGATATATTATATTTTAATAGTTAAAATTATCTGTTTTAAGAATAAGGATTCTGATTTACTTAAGTATTTTGATTGTGGTTATATTAAGTTTCACAAACATAAAAACAGAAAATAACTACAATTATTTTAAAATACCGTAACACTATATAATTTAATGAGGTAGATATATTATATTTTAATAGTTAAAATTATCTGTTTTCTTAATAAATCTTTTCATTTTTAATTTTCTGTTTTTATGTTTGTGAAACTTAATATAACCATAGTCAAAATACTTAAACAAATCAGAATCCTTATTTTTAAAATTATTTAAATAAATTTCAGTGCACCATCCAATCAAATCTAAAGCATAAATTTATTTATAATTTATAAAATATTTTAATTATTGTAAATATTGATATGTGTTCAAAAGCTTCTAAAAATTCATTAGTTACTTATGTATGTAATTTAGAATCAGAAACTTTAGTTTTTATTTTTGTTTCCTTCTAAGCACAAAAAAATCTTAAGTTATATATAATCTTACTAAATATACTTATATTTCTAAGATAACAACCAGCATAAATGCAACTAAGACAATTAATCAAAAATTTAATATATTTAAAATATAAAAGATAATAGTTGAATTCAGATAAATAGATAGAATCCAATATATCTAAATGATAACTAAATCGGCCGTAAAAACAATAAAACATACTAAATATAATATATCTAAAATTATATATATAATTAAAGTAATATAATATTATAATATAAATTAGACATACAAACTATAAATTAATTTAAAAATTAAAGTAAATATCAATTGATTATTATTGTGTATTTATTTTATAAATATACATGTCCGTGCATGAGCATGGGAAAATCACCTAGTAGCACTTTAGGTGAGAAACACTATGTATAAGTTTAGGCGGAATTTTATTTGTTCTTCCCTCTGTCTCTTTGGCTCAAATTTTCTTGATTCTTTCCGCTGTTTCTCACTCCCCAACACAGAAATCTCATCCCTTTCTCGATTGTGCTCCAATTTCTTAAAATTTCGTCATTGTGGTTTTCCAAAATCTCTCTTTTTGTTTTTTGTTTTTTATTTATTTTTTTAACACCAACTGATTATATTAAAATAAAATCTTATGGGTTGAAACAAACTAAAACAAGAACCGTGCTCAATGATAAGAAGATAGCAACCGGAGGTATACTCGACGGTAGAACAAAGCTAGAAAACATTACGAAAAGAATAAAGATAAAATCATCTCGGGGCGAGTCATGCTCAGCAAAAGGCGATTGTTCGGAAGAACAATTGTTAGTCGAAAACGACGTTGAAACACCAAAAAGACTAAGTGAATCTCGAGCTTTAGTTTTGCCTCCAAAGAGGCGCTTTGGATAAAGTTTGATGACATATGTGATGGTTGAAATAGGTTCAAACCTCGGAACTCAATATTACCGTATCGAGTCGAGTAATTTGTGACCAGAAACCTAAGCATACTGCTAACGCACTCGTTCAAACAGAATGTGTGAGAGCAAACATTGGATAAGTGGTAAAAAGCTTTGGGTTGGTTGGATCTGCGTACCACCACTCCGGTTTGAAGGTCGCATAGTTGACACTGTGAAAGACCGTCGATGCTTGAGACGGCATAATGTGATGGACACGCAACGATGATGTAGCTTTTAAATCTGGCGAGATAACCCTCTTGCACAGTAAGGTCAGCGACGAAGATACCGAGAAAGCCACAAAACCGGTATTGTGAAGAACCGTCGATGCTTGAGACGGCGTAATGTGATAAAGACGCAACAGTGAGATAGTCATGAGTAATACTAGCGAAACAACACTCTTGCACAAAAGATCCGGTGGTTACTAGGAGAAAGGGGTTTAGACGATATAGCTTAACTCCATAGAAACCTTGGCAAAAAGGGTGGGTCTGGGTCTTGGAGAACAGTCGCGGGATGGACACAAAACATTCGCCGGAGACAGTGGAAACCATCTCTATTCGGAAAAGGAAGCTCATCACGACTGCATGGGGCGAGGTGGTGGAGGTTTGTAGCGACGGAGAAGGGATGGTGTCAAGGCTAGATGGCGGCTCCAAAATCCGTTCTAGTGGTGAAGATCTTAAACCGTGTAGGTCCACTCTGTAGAGACCATGACATGGTCCATGTTAGAAGAGAGATTTGCGGTATAATACCCAAGGAAGCAGCTTGCATAGGTTGGTGAAAGGCGGATGGAGATGGTGACTGGTACTGGTGACAGAGGAGGCTCAGAGGTGGCGTGGAGTGGTGTAGGCACTTTATATCTGCAGAGCCAAACAGATCTGGCAAGCCAATCAGGCTGAGTAGATCTGGTGGTTTGCATTGTACATAGAGGAGAGGAGTCTAGTAGCGAGGTACGGTGAACGGCGGTTGTAGGAGATGATGGAGAGATGACGGCGGCGAGACAGGCAGTGACCTGGAGAGGAGTTGGAGAAGCGGTGGTTTCGAGAGGAGTTGGATAGGCGGTGGTCTGGAGAAGAATTGGGAAGAAGGTTTCGAGAGAAGTTGGAGAAACAAAGTCGTAGGAAAGGGCCAAGACACAGCACCAGATGTTGAAGACGAAACTACCTTACAGAGCGAAAGAAGAGGAGCAAGTGATGGAGTAGAGGGCCCGACGCCGGCGGCCAAAGGCCTTACCGGCGTCGAGAAGAACTGCTTGCGGTGGCGACTTGAAAATCGTGTCTGGGAGCTTTTTCTAGGGTGAACTCAGGGGGATTTCTTAATAGCAACTGGTTTTCCAAAATATCTAAAACACAAATTAAATTGTTCGATTCTTCCAGGTAAAATTGATATTTCATCTTTTTATTTTTGTTTCTGATAAAAAATCGTTTATTTCTCTTTAATTGGTGGTGATTTAGGGTTATTGCATGTTCAATTATTTTGTCTTGTTTACTCTTCTGTAGGGAGGGTTTGTTTCGGATCTTTGGAGAAAGGTACTCTACTGTGATTTTCTAGGTTTGTCTATAACTTTTTGTTGGGGTCAAAATCGGTACGACGAAATCAATAGCCAAAATTCCCCGCAAAAATATAAAAGGAATAATTTTATAAAACCCAAGAAGTCGTTTTATAAAACAAGAAGCCGTTTTATAAAACTCGCAGATCGTTTTATAAAACTCGAGAAGCTGTTTTATAAAACTCGAAGATCATCTTATAAAACTCGAAGATCGTTTTATAAAACTCGAGAAGCCTTTTTATAAAACCAGAAGATCGTTTTATAAAACTCGAGAAGCCGTTTTATAAAACTCGAAGATCGTTTTATAAAACTCGAAGATCGTTTTATAAAACTCGAGATCGTTTTACAAAATTCGAAGACCGTTTTATAAAACTCGAGAAATCGTTTTACAAAACCGAAAAACCAAAAAAAGCCGCAAAACGCGACTAGTCACGACTAGTTCGCCTGCTGGCAAACTAAGCCAGGCTGGCTTAGTTTGCCAGCAGGCGAACTAGAGCCTCCCCGACCAGTTCGCCTGCTGGCGAACTAGACCGTCCCGGACTAGTTCGCCAGCAGGCGAACTAGAGACTCCCAACTAGTTCGCCTCCTGGCGAACTAAGCCAAGTTGGCTTAGTTCGCCAGCAGGCGAACTAGGCACTCCCCGACTAGTTCGCCTGCTGGCAAACTAAGCCAGTCCGGCTTAGTTCACTAGCAGGCGAACTAGAGACCTCCCGGATCTCCCGCATCCCCGATTCGAACCTTACGTCCTTCGACACGGTCACATTCTGAACCACGGCCGAAATGTCTCTCGTTTCATCTCGATCCGACTTATCGTTTGAATTCTACGATAAAAACCGCAAAACTCCGTTTTCCCGAAAAGAACTCGAAGAAATCGTATAGAACGGCAACGGTTAAGCAAGACACCGAACATCGCCTAAACTATACGATTTATCCGAGATTTTTGTTAAGATCATGAAAACGTGTTTTTAATAAAAAAACGTCGAGAAAATCGTAAAAACGGCATCGGATCAGGAAACGGTCTCGTTAAAGTCGTAAAACGGTTTTTATCGTAAAACGGCCCGAAAGGTCCTGAAACACGATAAAAACCCATCTCGCGACATTAACGAAATCAAACCCGAAGATACGATAGCATTTTGACGGTTTACTCGCAGATGGAAGATAAAAGGCAAATTTGAAGATAAATAGAAGATTTCCACGGAAGAAAAGGAAGGATCGACAGATATGGAAAGTTCCCGATATATTCGGTTTCGGGCAAAATGGAAAGATCAAAACCGCCTAAGGAGGAGTATATAAGGAGGAGGCATAGGGCAGAAGCTGGGACACGATTTTCAGAGCTCTCACCACCAAAATTAGCATTTAGA